CAAAGGAGATTCTGGCCGCGGCATACGTGCCAGCGAGGAGTAGACCTAATTTAATGTCAATCAACTTTCACCCTTTGCATTGGCAGATGCATGACTCACTCATCATAGAAATAGAGCTACCAGTAGCACCCATCAACCTGTTACGCTTTTGAAAGTTTAGGCAGATCATCAGGCAAGATGATATGGATAGATCATTCAGAAAGAGCGCACCTTAGTGGGACCACCAGAAGTGTATGAGATGGTATAGACAAAACGGAAGAGGGACCATAACCCGAGCGATGCAGCGGCGAATTTGGGAAACTCAATCGCAGCGACAGCAGTGCTGTAGTCAGAGATAGTGGTCAGCGATGATCGTTCTGTCAGAGTCGTCGTAATGTTGGGGCGCACCTCATGAGCACGAAAGGTACGCTCTCAAGCGTGTTCCCGTGAGCACCTAAAACGACGTGAGCCCGCAGTACACCGCCACATTGTATGACATGGACGTACGTTGAGCGTAGTTGAACGTTTTTGCAGCGTCCGAGGCGGCCATTTCAGCCTTGTCGGCGTACACTGCACAACGATAAAGTTATAGATAAGTGCAAGTGCAGCACAGGAACACAGGACGCACTTTGAGGGTATGCAATACCAGCTGCCTTTCTCGCTCTGGCGACCGCAAGGTACTGATAGAGGTTCAGGTAGAACGTGGAGAGGAGGGCTGCAGCGACGTAGCCATGCCTGTCGAGGAAGTCCGTGTTATTCGGGATTCGGTAGAATTCAGTCTGGGCAGCAAAGTACGCACTCAGGTTACAAACTAAAAGTCACGGCCATTCTTTCGATGGTATGCAAATTTTGTCACGGAGTAGAACGCGAGGTATGAGCCTGAGCGAGACGGGGCTGAGGATGAGCAGGGTGGATGGAGGACGGCAGCTACGCGCAGTGTCCGTTCTTTTTATACACTCACCTCTGCGTTCCTCGATCGACCACAGCGTACCATCAAAGTGATCGCTCGTCCTGAACAGCTCCGCATTCGATAGTGTCGGATTCATGGCGAGCTGGCGCGAGGCGTGGACGTGGTGTCGGACGTGTACCGTATCATCATGCACACTGTATACACGCGTCGCCGGCATTTCGCGCGTGACCGAGGCCGAACTCGGATGGCGTGCAGGATCAGAAACGTAGAAGGTCTCAGGCTTTCGAGGGCGGTGAAGCCCTCGAGCTCGTACCACGATAAATGCGGATATACCGACTACACCGGAAACGGACTTGTACCAAGCACCAGCCTGCCAGGCACTGAAACTTGCAATGAATTTCGTGAAGATGCTGCGAGAACGACACGGTGGCACCACCTGAGGTTTAGCAGTGGTGCGTGGCGTCGTGGTGAAGCGTGGATCTGAAAGCACACATCGGAGTAGTACTTATACTGTCCTCTGCATATAGTGATACTTAGGCTTTGCACAGATCCCTTCACAGACTCTAGAGCCTCAGAGAATCGGAAGTTGTGAGAAAATGAATGCAAAGAGGAGCTGCAAAATGGAGAACAAGATATGGACATTCAGGGGATTGAACGCCGGAAGCTTCGCATTCAGGCTGGCCGCTGGAGACTTTATCCACGGCGAGTTTGCATTCTGCAGACATTCCTAAACTCGAGATAGTAATGTGTTACATGAGGGTAGTAGAGATGTGCTATGGGATATAAATGCCGCTGAAAATACATATGCTACATCTAGACAAACCGAAAACTTGAAGACGGACTGAGGATGATCAAGGCCATGACACTTGAGAAAGTAGGACGAAGTAGACAGGATCTTTCTAGACGAAAGAGTAGGGTTTGTCAGCATCAAAAAGCTGGAGGGTATACAGGTGAGTGTTCGACTCTGTGCATCTGCAAGTGTGTTGACTGACCTGATACGCAGGAGGCGGAGACTTACAGATCTCTGAGCCGGGATCGTCACCGCTGCCAGCACCTTCGTTGTCGTCGTTGTCGTCATCACCAGTACCTTCGTCGTCGTTACAGGCTCCGCTCCTCTCGCCCCTCTTCTTCGCTGCTCCTGACCCCCTGTTAGTTCTTCCACAACCCCTACCACTCCGTCCCAGACTTGCAATGGTTGTGTCATGTAGCTCAACGGCATCGGCGTCGCTGGCACTCGGGTATGTTGTTAGAATTTCCGGCGGGGTAGTTGCCCCAGGCTCAGGGGCAACTTCTGCGCGACCAAGACGAGGAAGGCAAAGACGAGGGAGGTGAAGACGAGGGAGGTGAAAAGAGGGCGACCTCAAGCCTTGAACCGAAGTAGGAACTGGAGGCGAGGCCCAGAGTAGCCTAAGCACAGTCAAAAGCAAGCCGAGAACTTCCAGAAGGAGGCCTGCCACTTGCACGACCCTGCCGATGTACTCCATGAGGGCGGAGAAGAACGTAAACACCCCATTGAGGGGGGCAATCAGCTCTCCGCCCATGCTGTCGGCGTAGGTGTGGTACAATGCTGACGGAATGAGAATGATAGCGGAACCAGTGAGGAAGTGTTGCCAGAAGTGTTCCCAGTTGAACGAGTGGCCCGGGGGTGTGTCGATTGGGCAGTGGGGAGGTCTTCTGTAGAAGGGGACGGTCAAGAGGAGATTCGACAATGGGCAGGACAAATCTCTCCGTGCTGCGGCAAATTTTGAACGCCAAGTCATTGTGATGCAGTTCTGAAGTGCGAGGTAAACTTACAGACATATGCCACTTCGAGTAGCCAAATAAGCAAAAAATAAGAAACCCCCGCCATATACCCTACGAGCGTCACTCTCAATGGGTTGCCTCGATCATTTGAGACCATCGGAGGAATGACAAGAACGAGGACTGCCAGAATGACAGAGACGATGAAGTATGCCCGCAATCCATCGTCCGCGGCAACGAGGGGCACTGCTATTTGTGAAATTAAAGAGGTGAATGCTCCTGTTATGAAAAGAAAGATGGTGTGGACTGTGTTCCGGACTGTTGAGGGGTCACTGTCGGACATGGTGGTTGTGATATGTGGTGGCTGAGTGGCTGTGGTTGTGGTTCAAAGGAGGTTCAGTTCAAGACTCGGAGTCAGGAGGATGGACGCGCATCCTTGCTCGAAGAGCAAGCTACCCCTCCCCACTCAGTCCCCTCCCGATCTCCGCGATCACTGTCCGCTTTTCTCACGCCCATCTTTTCGTCTCTCCCTCTCTTCTTGCTCGCTCTCCCTCTCTTTTCACCTAATTTTTGTTCGAGCTATCTGTCCTCCGTTTGCTCATGCGTCTGTATCCTTCATATACGGTGCATCTTGCTCCGTGGATGTTACAACGCTGGCCTCTTTCGCCCTCCTCACTTCGCCTTGACATGCTCGGTCCGCCCTGCTCACGTCAGCCCCGATCTGCCCCACTAGCCTTTTACGGTGGGGTTTTCCAGGCCCCCCGAAAACTCCCCAAGATGCCTCTTCGCCGGGAGCCAAAGTCGATGTCGGGACGGTCCTCAGAAAAATCGGCGATTTTTGTCGGGATGGCCGTATAGGCCTCCCCTGCGGTGGCCTAAGCGCCTGCGTATGTACCGGTTCGTTCCCCGGCCTCCCTTGGGCTGAAAACGGGCCAAAATCTCTCCCCTTCCTCGTACCAGCTCTCGCTCAGCCCTCTAGGAGCGTCGCGTGAATATCCACCCGTTGTTGCACATATCTGCACTATATATCCGGAAGCGACCCTCAGTCCCAGTACATTTTGTCGGGACATCGAAGATGCCTTCGACGCTGGGACCTTCGGTTTGTCGGGACTCGAAGAGGCCTCCGGCCGGAAAATGGGTCGATTTTGTCGGGATGGCGAAGAGGCATTTGAGGGAATTTTCGGGGGGGCCTGGTTTTCCTCTTTAGCGCTTTTCGTACGGGCCCTTGTACTGACCCCCTCCTCCTCCCCCTCCTCCTCCTCCGCTTTCTTTTCTTGCAAATTGTTTTCCTTCTGAGCTCATATCAAGTTGTTGAACACTCATAATGCACTCATAGTATTTCGTTTCCGATTCTTCGAAGATGTCACTTACAGTATGAGCACGTCTGTTCGTCCTCCGTTCCTCGTCGACCCCCTTCATTGACTGGTCCAAAAAGATTTGCACAAGTTCACTCTAGATCAACTTCCCCGCCATCGTCGATGATTTCCCCTTTTCGTGCCATGACCTGTGAATGTTCCACGACCATATTCCTGTAGTTCACACCACTATAGATCTTACAAGTACTGGAGTTTCCCTATATAATCTACCTGTCCATCTCTCACTCTCCACGACCATCGAGCAAGGCCCTACCGCGGAACGCGGTCTCGAGTTTTGCCAAAACAGGCAATGATTCCACCGCCGTGACCCTAACCCAACTTTCCGACTTGCACGTGACTGTTTTGTGGCACTGGTACCGTCTGCCAGAGGTTGGATTGGATTGGATTGGACTGTGATCAGCTCCGCATTCGATAGTGCCGGAAGATGACCGTGGATTCATGGAAAGCTGACGCGACGGCGGCGACGCGTGGACGCGGTGCCAAACGCGTACACGCGTCGCCGGCAGCAGACGTGTGTCCGAAGCCAGAATCCGAAGGAAAGCAACTTGAAGAGCATACATCCCAAGCTGGAAACTATACTCTGAAGCCACGTCACGCACTTTCCAATTGAGAATTGCGATAACGAAATCGTACGTACGAGAAGGTTCTCATTGACGCAGCAGACGTGGAAGAAACTTTGGGCGAGCTACAATGTGAATCTCGTACCACGCGTACGATAAATGCCGATATACCGACCACACCGGAGTCGGGCTTATATGTGTACGGTGTGTACCAAGCACTAGGTACTGGAAGCTGCAATGAATTCAGTACAAATGCTACGAAAACGATACGCTGGCGTTACTTACGGTTTGGCTGATCGTTGTAATGCGTAAGGATCTGACACGCATCGGAGCAGTACTCTACAGGGAGTGGTCGGCAGCCTCTGGAGTTTCAGAACCTCGCGTTGGCTGTTTCCATGATGTAGGGAAACAAAAGAAATCAAAGTGGATGATTAGTGGACATTCAGAGGATTGAACTCTGGACTTCACGCAGGCGCCCGTGCTCGAAAGCAAGATGCGAAGCGTGCGCGCTACCACTGTGCCAAATGCCCATGACGTAGGATTGGCTTATGATTTATGTGTCACGTGGTTTGTCTGCTGCAGCACTAGACTCACTGCTGCTCCGCGAACCAGTGGGCCAGTGAACCAGTCTTCGGGCTTCAAGCTTCAAGCTTCCAGAGTTACTCTATCCTCGTGTTTGCTGTGATTATTCTACCGAACATCCCGAAATCCCTGGACTCGCAGTACCTTTACCGAAGAAAAGAATCATAGGGTGTGGCGAACAGCCGACGGTTCTCCTCGAACGAACCGGCGTTCGCAATGGCGAACCAAACTGCAGATGCCGCCACTCAGATTCAGGTGAGCTGCAAATCATTCATCTCTTTTATCTCCGTTGTTCGCGAGTTCGCGACCAAAGACCGTCCTCGCGATTAATGTGTCGTTGAATCTCCTGACCATGCTCTGCATTCCATCGCGTTGCTATCGGGGAGACCTTCGTAATGCCAGCTAACATGGAATGATCGCAGCCGCAGATGCACGTTCACACCGCTACATATGCAAACTCGGGACAATTCTCTCTAGGCGATGGCCATATCTCGATCTCAGCATTCCCCAGCGTGTTGCAGCCCACTCAGTTCCACGCCAACGGTGTAGGCCCGCCTCCTGGCACTCCTTCTACTCCAGCAACGATAGCCGGAACGAAACGCAAGCCTGATGATGAGCAAATTCATTCGCCGCAGAAGAAACGAGGGAAGGAAGTTGCTGATGTTGAGGTCTCTGAGAGTCCTAGTGGAGATGCGCGACAGACTGGTGCGAGGCATTGGACAGATGAGGAGAAGGGAAAGCTGTTTGACTGGCTAGTGGGAGAGGACCGTAATTGGGAAGGATTTTCTACGCAGATGAATACAGTATTCCGTGAAGTGAGCTCGCTGATCCTGTCTTGTCCTGTTGATGCTCAAGCTTTCCTTACAGGCCGCCGCTCAGTTGTTCGAAAACAAGAAGACCTTCACGGCAGTCAAGAGCTGCTATCATCGCAACGTCGAAGCGTTCCGGCAGATCTATGCTCTCGAGAAATATCTGATTCAAGTCACTACTCTTCCGCCTCCTGGTTCCGCACCTCCACATGGATTTACGCCCTTACCACTGGGTTTTCCAAACCCGTCAGCGAGGTCAGCATTCATCGAACGACGGTTGGAAAGCGCACGCGCATTACCAGTTGATATAGGGGTAGGGAATGTCAGTCCAAAAGTCGTAGAGCATTGGTGCAGGAAAGGGTGGTATGTGTTGTTCAAGAGAAGGTGCGTATCTAATCCTTTCAGATGCCTTTCTCCTCATGCAAGTTGTATATATGCGTAGGTTCAAAGAGGACACAGAGGGTCAAATCGTCCCTTACTTTGGCAGGGACCCTTCTGCGTCGTTACTTGGCAAGGGCTTAAGCCCTGCTATCGCCATTCTTTTTCCCCACCCGGATCTTCCAGGAGCTGCCGATATCGCGACCGAGCAAGACAATGGCACAGACGAGGTTGCAGCGGACGAAATGGCCACTGGGCGTAAGGGTACCTCGGACTCCGTGACCTCAACGCAAGACCTTCGACGTTCAGTCGACGACCATACTGATGAGAGAGAGACTCCTTCCTCTACGCCTCTTCAGTCTCCAATGATTGGCATCGACGATAGCTCAACAAAGAAAGCACCCACTCATCATACATCGCGCTTCCGCATCCGGCGACCCCCACCGGAGGATCCTCCGGCACCTTCTGCATCTACGTCGTCTTCATCTCCTCAGCAATCACCTCAGTCCCAGTCTCAGCAGCATCAACACTCGCCCCACTACCACCAGCCCTCCGGAGTTCCCATGTACGCGAGTGGACCCGTCGCAGCATACCCAGGATACCCTCCCCCACCTCACGCATACCCTCCAGCACACATGTACCCCCCTCCCCCACCCACGCATTTCGATTATTCCCAAGCATACACCCCAGGATATGCGATGCAGCACAATCCTCAAATGCAGCATATGATCCAGCTTACGCAAAACCTGGTTGGCGCGTGTACGACGTTGGTCGAGCAGTTGAGAGCTCAGGCAGAGGACGGCAAGGCGCTGCTGGAGGCAATGAAGAAGCGAGAAGAACAGGAGAAGACGGGATCTGCTTCGACTGCTGGCACGGATAGAGCTGCCTTTGCGGCGCAGGTGTTGGGGGATCCGAAGGTGGATGAGGAAGTAAAGCAAGCGGCGAGGGAGTACTTGAAGAAATTGTTTTCCTGATCGTTTTATCAGGTGAGTTCTTCCTCCTATGATGCCTTGTGTCACCAACCTGACCTTTGTGATGCGATAGACTTTTCGTGTTTTGTTCGGTAATCGCAACTTCCAAACTCTCAGGGCATCACATCGTGTATTCTTACATCTCATCGCATTCGTCACCCATGGACCTCTCAAACGGACCGTAAACTGTATGTAGCATAATCGCATCCTCTTCCCTCTTTGGGGCCCCCTCCGAACATAACTATGGCATGGTCTTCAACATGTAGGCAGTCCAACCCATCCGAGTCCGTCGGATCGCATTGGACTTCTACAACAGTGCAAGCGCGATGTTTTGAGAGCTTCAAAAGGTCTTCGCACAGCCCACTTGACATGTGCTTTGACGCAGTTCCTCCACCAATGGTAGCAGTAGTGCTAAATCCTTGCTAAATCCGTGCCTATCTTCAGTACTTGGTATCGAATCCCCGAGTCCGTTACCGGAGGAGTCGGTATATCGGCATTTATCGTGGCATCCCAGCAACATCTCAGAGCGATATTAGACAAAGGCTTTAGTTCGCAGCTTCTTACACATCTGCGGTGAGAAAGTAGAACCTTCTCGTATATACGAGTCTTTTGTCGCAGTATTGGTCCTTGTCAGACAGAAGTTTCATGATGTGACCTCAGACAAGCTTCAGAATGTAATCTCCAGCTCAGCACAAGGAAACACGTCAAAGACAACTGCCGCCGGCCACGACGACGACGCGTCTCGCTGCCGTCCGGACACGTACGCGTCCACCTCCTCCGCTTCGTACCAGCTCCGAGCTCTCCACGAATTCCGGAATCTCTGATCAGCCCGAGGACCGAATATCGAATTCGTATGGAAAGCCGGAGTGTCATGCTCGACTTAGCGAGTGATCTCGCACATCTCCGGTGAGGACCCCGTGGACGTCTATTTCGCAACCTTACGGTAGGGTTTTGGCAGCGGCGCCTCGTTAGACGCCTCCTGGTCGCTGCACGACGTTGAATTCAACTCTGAGTAATCCAGAGTACTGATTCATACTTTCAAACCTCAGATCGAGGTCGTCTTTGTCTTTAGGTAAAAGCAGGTAAAAGCGTGAATCATCCGACTCAGTAACGCGCCAAACCTTCCGGAGATGACAATTTCACGCGATGAAGGATACATTGGCATACAACCCAATAAAGGAGAGACTGGAGAGAGCAAGTTGACCAATCTCGCTTTCAAGCATCTACGCTATCCCACCACTTCCTAGGTCTCTGTAGCTCACATAAATGTATTTGTGGTCGCATCATAGAACGACATTATACATACGATACAGAACTGTCTAAGCTGGATTTAAAGTGGTGGCACCCGCGGTGACTCCGGTGAGTGGAATTGTGGAAATCTGAATAGCTTGGGACTAAGAAGACTCAGAATTTCGACTTTGACTCGATGCAGGGACGTCGCTTTTGTTCGAGCGTCGGCAGATGCTCAGACGTATTGGATTTGTTGGAACTTGGCGGACAACCTAAGCGGTGTACGAGTGTGACACAAGCTCACATGGGGGTACAGCAGGAGGGAATGTGAGCGCGAGAAGATACAGTGTCAAAAAAGCTGCACTTACCACTGGCTGCTGCTTTGAGCACCCAACGTCTGCGTATTAAATGTCCATACATGATACAAGCAACACCCGAGAAGGGATTCACCGCAGGTCACGAAGCAGGGAGACAATGAGAGCTGCGGGATGGAGGTGTTACGATGGCGAATGCGATACAGGGCACATCAGACGCACCACTACGATGTGGATCATGCAGGCCAAACCACGGCGGGATGATGTATACAGAGGTCTTGGTGTACCTCCTTTCTTGGAGCAGCTGGAGCCTGGAGGTGTGGGCGTTGAACTTGCTGGATGCAATTCAGCGGTCGTGGGACTCGGACCGTTCTTCTCGGCGGCGTGTAACGAGGCGTACAATGAGAGAACGAAGACCTACTAGAAGGAGTCAGGACTGTTTAGTGTTCCGACGGAATCAAAGAGGAGAAGAGCGGGACGGAGACCGGGTGGAGAGAGTGGCGTACGGTGTACCGTAGCACGGCAATCTGGTAAAATTCTATGCGTAACTTCAAGTTTACATTAGAGAATTGTCGCGATAGACCGCATGCTCGTCCGAGTCTCGCGAGATGGGAAGGGACAGACATGGCTCACCTGCGATATCAGAGACCTCGATGGAATTTCGCCACAAGTCTGTGAGAAACCACCTTCAAATGAAATCAAGAAACATCTCGCTAGACAGTACATGGGCAGACTGACCTTCATGAATATACTGCATCACACCCAATGCGCGCGCAGGCGATGCTCGGGTTCTAACTTCTTGCAGAGTCTTGCGTTGCACCGTGACCACTGACATAGGTCTTTGATCAGTTTGAATGAAAAGGGTTTGGAGTAGCCTTCAGAGGCCGTCACTCGAGGGCAGGTACGCTTGACCGTGTATATTCCGTAGCTGGGTGCTAGCTGAGGTACAGGTGTACAGGTGAAGGTAGAAAGCAAATGAGTAGAGACGGAGGCCACACCTCTAATGTAGTAGACGCCTTAGCTAATCAAGGCGGAGACTTCCCTATTATGGGAACCTATTGACACTGGACGTTTGAGCAAGGCTGATTGGACGGTATCTGTTGTATTCCATGTTGATAATGCGTGCTGGAATGCGTCCAGCAATGTACGCGTGCTTGGAGGTACTGTACTATGACCTGTCCGTGTCATAGTCGGCTGACCGCTGCGAAGTAAGTTGGCACTTGCAAGTGGAATGCCTGGGCATGCG